ATCTTTGGTTAAATAAATAAAATGATGAAACTAAAGTAAAAGCTTTTTTTTGTTTTAGTACTGATTAGCCTGTATAAGTTGCTGTAATAAATTTATGTCTAATTCTGAAAATTGCCTTTTCTGAAAAATAGTATAGTAATTTTCTTTCTGTAGAGATGCTGCGACCTATCTATATTTAAAAGTTAAATTATCACAATGTTTTGCGTGATTGTGGTGCAGTGTATACTGTCATTTTATTTTTTCTATAAGCTTCCCATGAGAAGATCCACTATTGATTTATTCAAAATTAATATTTCAGAAAATATTAATGAAATGGTATTCCCATTTTTAACTGTTTTTTTAAATTTATTTTTTATTAAAATATGGCATGATAAGTTTTTAAATGAAAATAAGCTGTCCGGCATCATTATTTACTTGTGAGGTAATTAATACAAATTGGTTACTTGAGAATAATAAAATCACAGTAGTATATTTTTTCTCCCTAGCTTTTATCTATATTTTTTTGAAAATATTTTATTTTCGAATTGCTAAAAAATTTGAAAAGAACTTCTTTTTATTTCACATTTTGATTCAGTTTCTTTAGTTACTTTTTTAAAAATTAATATTTAATTCATTTATCAATTCTGATTATATTATTATTTTTGACTGAAAATAATATCTGAGTTTTGTTAAATATTTACAGTCATATAAGAATAGAAATCGTGATAGTTTCCCTCTGCCATAATTTGCTTTTTGGTGCTTAAAAGTGCTTATTTTTTCATTAACAAAGTGATGTTTTTTTGCTTATACAGCATTTACTATATTTACATAACTATAAATACATTGTAATTTAATGCAAAATCCGTTTTAATATGGAGCTTTAAACACAGGATTAAAAGAAGGCACTTAATATGTTACTCTGCTTTATTAATCAGATTAAAAAAATTCATATTTGGAATTGTATAAATAACAAATAAAGCATGCTTTTTATTTTTATAGGTCTGCTGATGTGATGAAAAATGTTTCCCTTCTAATATCTATGGTAAGTGGACTTTAATAATGTAATTATTTTTAATAAGTTTCTTTTTTTTTGTGTTTGATTGCAGATTTAGGATTTTATGAAACCATTCTTTTGTAATTTTATTAAGAGGGAAGGATCTGGAATAAAAAACAAATAATATATTCTTTCCCTTCCAGAAAAACTTTTAACTTACCATTTCTAACTTATAAGATAATGTTTTGAAAAATCTTATGCACTATTATTATATTCCATTTTTTTATAGAGTATGCAGTATGCATGCAGTTAAAAATAACAATATAAAAACATTTTTAATAATGAAGTATCGATCTTTTTTAAAAGTAAACATCCTTTCTTAAATTGCTAAATCATTGTTATTTTAATTTATCACCAGAAACATCTTTAAATATATGAAACCTATTGTGCATAAAGAAAAGTACTAATAAAATTAAACTAGAGAAAATACATTTTAGAAATCTCACATTTATAATATTCCTTATCACATTCATACATTTTATTGCTTTTAGCTTTCCATAATAATATATAATTCTTTACTATCAAAAGGAAAAGTTTCCATTAAATTCTCCCGACTTAATACGGATTTCAAAGTTCTTATAGATCTTTATTATTTTTTTATAAGTAGACTTAAGTAATATTATTTTGCGTAAAAATAGGCTGATAAGAATATGCTTCCTTATCTAGAGTAATGGTAATAATGGATATTTTATTATTTCCGAAAAAAAGCTAAAAATAAAATTTATTAATTATGTTCGTTTTTCTGATGAACTCTTGATGTTCTGTTTGTTTAAAGAGTTTAAATGAGACATGACTGTCATGTTACTTTCTTATGTTTGTATTTATCTTATAGAATAGGTTACACTTTTATTCTGTGCATCACAGATTTTTCAAAATTCTGTATATGCCTTACTTCCAAAATGACATTGCAAGTTCAGGGTACAAAAAGTGAACTTATGCACCAGAAAAGGCTGTGTATGAATTATATGAAACTCAGGAATAAAACTTTTTTTTTAAAATTCTTTCCCCCCCCCCTTCAATTTGCTTTTTTTCTAAAGCTATCCTGTCTCAAGTAATTATTCACAAAAAATTTAGAACTGACAATTAAATCAAAATTTTTAGTTTATATGTTGTTCATAATTTTTTTTTTTTTCATTTTGTTTAGTGAATATTCAAAATCTTTCTTTTGCATAAAATTGAAATGAATTTAAAAAATGATTTAAAAAAATGAATGATGTTGCTCAGACTGATTCTTGCAAATTTCTAAGAAAAATAAAAGTTCTTACTTAGTTAAAAGTTTAATGTAAGCTTGAATTTTTCTAAACCTACATTTTTATATAAAATATAATATTTGATTTTTCTAAAAGGGAAAATTTTGTTGTAGACTGGTCGTGAACATGCTTTTTTGCAAGCTGAAGACAGATTATAGATCAGTGCTGGCGCTGATATTATACATAATAAACCAGTATCACATGATTGCAAGTTAGAACAAGAATCTGTTGGAATCTCTCGTGAGCAGATGCTGGCTGGTAATAAGCAATGGATAATCATTCCTGTAAGTATATATTTATTGTAATAACAATGCAATGTGTTATGTTATGTGATATGTCTATTTTTGCCCAATGGGGATGCAATACTTTGAATGTAGCTGAAGCTGAATTATTACACAGCTAAAACTTTTCTTGGTTACCGTATTTTTCGTCTCAAGCGCCGCATTTCGATAAAAATGAAATTTTTAAAAAAAGTCATAGTAAGCGCCGCAATGGCGCTAAACCGCGCATATCCGCATCCTTTTAGAAGAGACCTTTAAATTACCATTTAATCTGTTTAACAAAAAAAAATTTTTATGCATTTCATAAAGTAAAGTTTTAATTTCTAAATTATAATAAAAAATTTCTTTTTCAGCAAAAAAAAAGAAAAGAAAAGCAACAAAAAGTTTTCTCTTTCAGCAAAAAAAAAAAACAAAAGAAAAAGAAAACAGCAAAACGATATAAAATAAAGTTGTTCTTACCAGTCGGCACTGCGCAAAAAGCAGAAGAACAGCAAAAAAAATATTTATATGTTCAGTAGCTGAATTAACGCTGAACTGATTAAAATCCGTAAAACAATGTAATAGGAAAAATACAATAAAAATTTATTAAAAGAAAGATTTTAAAATAAAAAGATTTTAAAATTTATTGCCGTTAACAATTTGAGGAAAAACTAATATATAATGACGAAACAGCTAATAATAACGAAATAACTAATAATAACAAGAATAAGAAATTACTTAGTAGGCCTCAAAATAATTTTGATGGAATGAGCGAAGGGGAAATAAGTTTCACTTTCACAATCTTTGGGGGTGGAATTTTAGTGGGTAGAATGCCCTCTCCTTCAATGGAAATAACCTAATGAGACTCAACTTAGAAAGAGAAGAAAATGTTTAAAAGAGGGGGGTACCCCACCTCCTCCACGTGTCATTTTTACTGGAGCTGTTTAAGAGGAATCAATCAGTTATATAAAAGCTATAAATGTTGTCTACGAAGAATGTTTAAAATAAAGAATTTTATGACAAATTTTATTTCTTTTAAAAAATAGTCAAAAAGAAAGTATGGAAAGTTATTTCATGATCTTGCATCGAATTTGAAAACAAAATTTCACTGAATTTTAACTAATTTTTTATTAGTTTTTCTTATAAAATCTTTTAATTAAATATCCATAAAATTTAAAATATTCAATATGCATTTTTAAATTTAAAAAAAAAATAGAATGCTTTTATTATCCTGGGAGAATATATAAATATTTTTTATAATTTAGCGATCCTATTTATTTTTTATTTTTTAATGCTATTAAAATATTACGTAAAGTTTTGGTTTACGGTTTCTCCCCTTCACCAATTAAAGGAATTTTTGCGTACTTTGTAAATATTATTCGAACTAACCATCTTACCCCCAAAACGATCTTGCTGCAAAAACGATCATATCACTATTTCTCGTTCAAGTATTTACATAATATTTATGCATTCTGTCTGTATTTATATTTTTCCTTGTAGATGGCAGCACTACAACTTGTTTTTCTGCCTTCCTTACCATAAATAGCAAACAAATCTTTTTCACCTCAATGATTGTAAAACATAATTTTACATACACTTCTCTTTTAGCTTACTATGAAAAATGTGTAAGCTAAGCAACAAAAAAAATTTTTTTTTTGGGGGGGGGGCAGGATAAAAATTAGTTTGTTAGAACTGGAGTTAATATTTTTTTAAAGCATATGTTTGTTGACTTCTAAATCAATACTTTAAAGAAAAAGAATTATAAATTTAGGGCCTAATTTCTTTCATCTATTTAATTAGCATCGGTTTTTAATAATATCATTATTTTTTTATAATATTATATTTTATTGTGAATAAATATTACATATTTTCTTGGATGTTTTATTTAACAAATTTTTGTTTATTGACAAATTTCATTGTCATTGACAAGTTTTTATATATTTTTTATTTTATTTGTATGTTATTAATGTAATTTCTGAATGAATTTTATTTTCTATTTAGATATTAAGTCTTCTGTTGAGGATTTTAGTCAAACAAATGTTAGATCATTTGGTCAATTACTCGTTAATATTCAAAGCTTTCAACTCATTGTAGGTGCAAATGGTAAGTTTTATTCCCTACTGATTTTTCACCTTTAAATGTTAAACAAAAAAAAAAGAAAGAAAATATATAAAAAGGAAAGGAATTATCCCAATTATTTTGTGTATTCATTTAAAGAATCAAATATTTTATTTTTATTCCTTGATCTTTTTACAGAGATTGTAGAAGCAGAGAGGAGGCTTTAGCCCCTTCTAAAATGGCAATTTTTCACTTAACATTCGATTAATTTATTTCACAATTAAAAAAAAAGAAATTTTTTTTTGTGTCAGAATTTTTAAAAAAATGTTTCTAATTCAAGTGATCTTTTACATTTGCTTGGTGAAAACTGTTAACCAAATAATCCCTTACTCGTAACACAAAAGAAATATCCGTCCTTATTCCTGGCTAATGTGAAAATTCTTCATTTCATATGTCACAGTGAATAGAATAAAAATAAATACAGTAAAAATATATATTAATTATAGGATATCTTTTATATTCATTTTATGATTAATTATATTACAAAATTTTTGATTTTGTATGATCTGATGATTATTAATTTTCACATATTAACTAAAGTGTATTATTATTGACTGTGACAATTAAATTTAAAATGAAAGATTATATATGATGCTTTAAAGTGCATATATAAAGCTATTGTTATTCTCCTATTGTGGTCTATTTTTTTAAATGAAATATCTTATTTGGCATGTCTCTTTTTATTCCTTTTTATGTTAATAACAGCAATCATTAAGTTCATGTTTTTTTTTTAATTCAATGCTTCATTTTGTAGGGATTATTTATTCAGATTAAGCTTAGACGGACTTAAAAAATTAGAGGAAGCTCATTGGTCTGCAAAGTCTGAGGATGTTCTTATGTGCAAACTAAAAGGAAAAAGTGAGGTCTGTATATTAAATGATTATTAGCATTATTGTAAATGTTATTACTTTACATTATAGTTAATTTATAGGATAGAATGGTTCTATTTAATTTTCAGGATTTGATCTTCATTATTTATGTTATCATCATTAATTTACAAGACAAAATTTTTTTTTATATTGTTATGCTATTTTTATTAACTTTGTATTTTCTTGAAAGTTTTTTTGTATTTGCTTTCAAAGTTAAACTATTTTCTGTGAAACTTTTAGAGAAAATCCATTTATAAATGTATTTTTATTATTTTTAAAAAAAAAATAACTATGCTTCTTAACCTTGCTTATTTTTCGCTACATATTCGAGATTGTGACTTTTATATTCATTTTAAAATAATAATTTGTAGTTGAACTAATATTTATTTTTTAGGAAGATTGTATGAATTATATAAAAGTGTTACTGAATCATGGAAATAAGTTATTTGCGTGCGGTACAAATGGATTTTCGCCTGAATGCTCTTGGAGAGATGTAAGTAGAATGTCCTAATTCTTTCCTATGTTTAGATTATAAAAAGCATTCTTTTTTTAAAAACAGAGTTTGCAAAGTTCACGTTTTTTTTATTTTTAAATCAGATTTATTTTATTTAAATCAGGTTCTTTTTTAAATTTAAAATTTTTTTTATTTTTTCTTGCATTTACCTGTCAAATTATCTAATAAAAGGTATTTTATTTAAAGCAATACTATAGTTAATATTTCTAAATTAACATTTACAGTTTCTCTAAATGAACATTTATAATAAATATTTACAATGTGAAGGTGTGGTATACTATAAGGGAAAATAAGCGTATCTGGCTAGCAGGGTAAGTAGGGTTTTTAAAAAGTTCTTAAAGGTACTTATTTCGATTTTCGTTTTTTAAAAGCCCTTAAAGGTGCTTTTTTCATTGGATGTTTTTAAAAAGTGCTTAATTTTCCCTTTTTCAAAATGAGAATTTTCCTTTACCATGTGGATTTTTGGTTTGAATTATGCAAAAATACACAGTTCCCATTGTTCTATTCAACGTTTTCACTATTAATTCAACCCCAATCTATTTCGGCGTATTGTCAGTCCGTAGCTTTTGAAAACGCCATTCATTTTGCGTGATTCAAAATTTGATGATTTTTGACAATCGTCAAAAACAATGCCAAAAGGTTTTTTTTATATTTTTGACATGATGGTTAAAACAAGATAAAATCGTCAATTGCCAAAAACTTTGGAACCCTGTCTAATTATGATATTTTTTTAAGTGCTTTAAAATATTTTTTGAGTGCTTGAAAAATGCTTAAAAGGTACTTATTTTTTGATGAATAATTTGGCTACGCACCCAGGCTAGCTTCTGTATTTTATTTTTATTTAACAATGTGACTATAGAGGCACACACACATACTACATTCACAGTCACATTAATATATATATATATATAACAAAAGAAGAAAAGATGATGTGCGCTGCATGGCAGGCAACTAATCGTTCGTCCGCTGTCTCATACACTCTCTCTGAGTGTCTCTCTATTCTCTCGCTCGGAGACTTTGCTAGTTTCTTCACAACAATTATTATTTTATTGCAATATACTCTCTATATCTCGAACTTAAATATCACAATAACCTTGTTATGTCAACAAAAAAAAAATCTTATTCCCCTTGACATTACATATCCATCTAATGTTAATTTGAATTCCTATGTCGAAGAATTACTTCTCAAAACCCTGTTGTGTCTAATATTTTTCGAAACAGAAAAATAATTTTTTCATAAAAATCTTCTATTTAATGCATAATTATCTTTTGTCTTACTTTTAAAAATAAAATTATCATTGCTATATTCAGAGTTTTAGTCAACTATCATCACGTACATATTTGTTGGTAGTTATTATGCTTCATGACTCTGCGTTTTTGAATACTATTTAAGAATTAGAACATATTTGATTCAGAACTTATCTCATAAACTTGCTTTCTTGAAATGTTTTTAGTGTCCCTTTAACTTTGAGATGTCTAGAGAATACTGTATTACAAATAAATCATGGAATGCTTAAAATCGCAGTTAATTTTGTTTAAGATAAATTTTAAAAACAGGGAGACAATTTGTCTGATATCTAATAAAGAGTAAATTAGTTAGGATTAGAATAAATTTGGGGAAAAAAATTATTCTAAGTTTCTCTTGGTAGAACAAGTCTTTCTTCATTATTATTATACTATAACTACATATTTAAGTGATTTTAAAAGCACTTGCATTTAAACAAAAATTAAACTAAATGGGTTTAATTGAAATACATTGGTGTAAGAAATTAAGAGAATTTGCAGACCTGGTCGGTTATTTAGAACTAGTGGACCGATTTTAATGGAATTTGATTTCAAAGGCCAGGGGAAACCCCCGATTCTGCGAACAATTCAGTATAATAATAAATGGTTGAGTGGTAAGAAAATATTTTTGTATTTTCTGCAATAATCTGTAATAAAAATGTAAAATTTAAGGATTAATAATTGCTCTACCAAAAAAAAATTTTTCTTTTACTTTCATGCAGTGCCGTCTTTATGCATGGGCTCACCCAGGCAGTCCTTGGAGGTTCTTGAAAATCTAATTTTTTTATAAATTATATTGAAAAAACTGAGAATAAACATTACCTTATATATTTTTTATAATAAATACAAATGTGCATTTTTTTTCTTCAAATGTTATGGAATCACCAATAATTTGAATAGTTTATCACCAAGAGAATTTAAAAAAGCAACCAAAATCAACTTTTCTACATTCCAATGAAACTTTTAGGTGCTTGGACATTGTAAGATATTTTAATAACTGTTTAGTTTGAAAAAATAATTCATACCTTTTGATTCTTTTTATTTGTTACACCATTACGTTTATTTAATTTAATTATTTTACTTAAATTCCGTGGTTATTTTAATTAACTCCCACGGAATTCCCCTCATTTGAGGATTACAACTGGATAGCATCTGAAATGTTTTTTTTGTTTTTTTTTTTAAATTATGCATAGTTTAAAAATGCTTTATTCAAGATTTTGTGGCAATCAAAATGCATTTAAATTTGTTAAATTCTTGTTTCATATCTGAAAAATGATTTATTTTATGTATGTGAAGTTTTTTAGTTCGTTTTAAAACATTATGGCATGCTATAGGGTATCTAAAACATTTTTGTGACCAAGGGCCCTGCACATATTAACCAGGGCATTAAGATAGCCCTGCCTTCATGTGTGTATTGAATTGGGCATAGCATTAAATTTTGTTTCTTAATAAATTGTTCTGCTACTCTTCAGTCCTGAGGACTGAAATCAGTTTTGAGAAAAAAATCAGACTGAATTTCATTAATATCCTTTTCCCATTTGTTTTTATTTAATGACTTTTTTATTATTTTTATTTAATAAATTTTTTTTTTGCTTATTGTTAAAAAAATGAGATTTTTTTTTATATAGATAAATTAATAAATTCCTAGTTGGTTATGATATATGAGCTATTATCACGGAAAGGTACATTTTGGAGTGAATTAGCTGTAAATTTCAGAAAATTCTGGTAAACAACATTAAACCTTGCTAATTGGTTAAAAAATAAGTTCAGTTTCGAAATTTTTTTAAGAGCGGCAAATATCAATTTATGTATAATTTTACTTTTTAAAATCCTAAATTTTTTTTTAAAAAAAATCCCTTTTTTTTTCAAAAAGGTCTTAAGGCAGGGTGGCCACAGGCTACTAAAATGCAACTATTTGCTACTATTTTCGGCCTTAGGCGACTATGGCGACTTTTTTTGCCTGATGAGGCTAAAAAAGCAACTATTTTCAGGAATAGACAACTATTAGGAGACTTTTTTTACTCTTGGCGAAGTTTTTCGCAAAAATGAACGTTACTTTTCAGAACGTTAATAAAAGAAAGCAAACTTTTATACAATCATTTATGTCCTAAAAGCCAAAAATTTAAATTTCCATTGGATTTAATAAAGTACTTGTTATATTTTCTCTCTGAGGGGCAGTTTTGTTATTTTTAATTGTTTTTTCCTTCTATTAACATTTATATTTTATTGTAATTCGACTTTTATTTAGTACCTATTTTCTAATATGTATACCTTTTACATTTGTACAAAACTTTCTTTTAATTGGAGCATAGTTAGGACTGGGCGATAAATTGATGTACCGCGAAATATCGATTTAACTCATATATCAGTAGACCGATGCAGTAACTTTCGTTTTAGGCGATGCATCATAAATCTGATTTAAGCTGCTGGAATTAGATCGCAATCGCGGTTTAACGATTTAATATGCAAGGATCCTTGACTAGGCTAACGCTGTTACCGCATTAATGAAGACGATTTTGATTTCGTCCAGCTGCAGAGATGTAGATAGCGTTTTGCTATTAAGATGTTAGTTTGTGATGAATGTCGAAGACGAATTGAATCAGAACTCCCGGTTTCATGCGAGGATCAGCGTTGTAACATAGAACGCAATGCATAGTTTCTTTATGTCGATTTTTGTCTTTGGGATTTTGCGTTTTTTGAAGACTATTTTCAATGGGACTTGAGTCATTTTGCGATCGTTGTGCATTTTATTTCGTCGGAAATAATTGTCGTGTTTCTTGTAAATTATTTTCAGTGAGATTTTTGCAGCGATCGTTTCGTTCTGCATTATTTCATACCATTCTTTTTCTGTCTGTGTTTAACGATTCTTATAAATTATTTTTAATAGACCTACTGTTACTTTGCGATTGTTGCACAACCGCTGTTATCTTAAATTTTTGTTCTGAACTCAATAGATTCTCCTGAACTCACTCATTGATTTTTTTTCAATTATTGTTTTTTATTTTAAGCAATACAATTTAATAGGCGTATTTTGTATTTAACTTTGTTATAAAAAGTTAGTTTCTTTAAATTTATTAAATGTGGTTAAGCATAATAATTTGATTGTTTTTCAACCAATAAATGCTCAGTCGATTTTAATTACAAAAAAATTAAACAAAGCTTACCTTTATTTAATTTGCTTTTATTTTTGAGAAAAGGAAAACAAAGTTTTAAAAATATTTGGTTAACTGATTGGATTGGCTGATTTTAAAAACAATTTTTTTTTAATTATATAAAAAGTTTAGTAATATGTTTTGACGTTTTTAATAATTTAACATTAGTACTTAAAGTAATTTTTTTTAAATTTTTATTAAAATTCTTTCAATACTTGTTTGTTTTATAATTTGTTCGATAGTCAGTATCCTTTTTAAACAAATAAATCTTTAGTCGATTTTGTTTTCAAGAATTAAAATAATAATAAATAATAATAAAAATAAAATAATAAGAAATGAGAAGTTAAAATAAAAAATAATAATAATAAAAAGTTAAAATATTTTTACATTTATTAAGTACAGAATTCGACCATTAGTTAATACTACTTTTTATTATTTTAAATAAGTAAGTAAAAAAGGGTCTAATGATGTTTCAAAAGCATGTTTTTTTTTTTCATCAAATAATAAAAAAAACATTTTTTTTTTCTAAAGTGAACATTTCTTTGGTTTGTTTTCCACTTTCGTTTTTTTCTTCTTTTAATTTTTAATGCATGTATGTAAAATGATTTGTTAAAGTAT